ACATTTCCATGGGAGCTACGTAGACTATAGACTTTCGCAGCCAGCCAATAGGTTCGGTTGATCTTGCGCTATTTCTAGCAGCTTCATCCTACAAATGCGAGGGCCCCCCTCCCTTGGCATGGCATTAGGCGGGCGCTTCCCTTGCAGACCCCACCCTGCAAAACTTACCGCCCTTTGTGAAGCAAGTTGGCTTCCACACTTTATCCCGGTTCAGGGTTTAGGGTTTGGGGTTTAGTGATTCATGGGCTTAGGGTCTTAGGGTTGAGGAGTTTTTGGGTCTGGGATTCTGTCTCAGCTACGGCTCGCTTACAAAGCACTTCGGCTGCCTGTCGCTCAATTCCCTGGACTGAGATTGCTTTAATGAACCGGGTTGCGGTTAAGGAGCTTTCATTACATTACCATAATAGGAAAGCTCTTTTATTTACAGTATACCTATATTCTGGTAATGTAATTGAAGTTCTTCAACAGCAACCCAGGAGTATTTGGTGTGGGACTTGAAGGTCTGAAGCTATGCTTCTTTGAAGATTCGAGGAGTCTGGGTTTGCCTCAAACCTTCAGGGTGTACTAGTTACTAGCATCGTGCAGTGAGAAGGGATTCTCATGGAAATGCTAGAAGTCTCCAAGATAGAACAAGATCATATTTTGTATTCGGGCATTTGCCTCAACCATACCCTAAACCCTAAACTCCCTAAACTCCCTAAACCCTCAACTCCCTAAACCCTAAACTCCCAAGACCTTAAACCCTTAACCCAATGAGGCCTGGGAAGCACCCTGCAAGTTAGACAATGCACGAGCAAGTTGCTGAAGGGCGAGCTTGGTTGCTCAGAACTGGGTTTAGGGAGTTTGGGGTTCAGGGTTTAGGGAGTTTAGGGCTTAGGGTTTAGGGAGTTTAGGGCTTAGGGTTTAGGGCGTTTAGGGTCTAGGGTTTAGGGTGTTTAGGGTTTATGGTTTAGGGAGTTTAGGGTTTAGGGCTCACTCTTGGAGAGCCCCGCGCTGGACTGAAATGCAGCTTCCCTAAACAGACTCAATAGAAGTGGTGCATTCCCCGAATAGGGGGACACAAATATTTGGACACCAAAAAACTATAGACTAAAGTCCTTATTATAGGGATCCCGAAAGAGGGCCCCTAATTTTGGGAAACCCTAAACCCTACTTGTAGGCCCTAAACGCTATAATATCCCTATACAGCCCCTATCTCAGCCTAAACCCACCTTAAAGAGGTCTCCCTAATTTTGGGAAATCCCCAAGTGTCCTCTCTTTAAAGTACCCTCCTCTAGGGTTTAGGGTTTAGGGTTATAAAATACAAAAAGTCACCAAAGCCCTAACCCATGCTATACTGCTATACTTTGATGGACCCCGTTCGGATACATATTACATCCACGTTCTAAGCCCACTATCACCCCATTGTAACCGTATCTAAGTAGGTTTAGAAACAAGGTCCGAAAGGTTAGAGGGCTTCAGAGGCTTCACCATTTTCCCATGTCCTTAAAGGCTGTTCTAGGGCTGCTAACGGTATGCCTCTTGGTATGCTGGAGATGTTCAGCCAAAAACGAAAGCAGTCGAATCTAAGCCAGCCCTCTCTACATCGCTGCAGATACGACACCGCACAAAAACTGCCCCGACGCAGCTTGGCCCCAGCGGCAGATGCGCCGATAAACCGCAGATTGCCAAAGACCGTGTGGTCGCACCACACTTCGCCGAAAGATGGGCTGTGGTTCGCAGAAATACAGGAATTGTGGTTTGTATCAGAACGTCTACACTGTCATTCTGTTATTTCCGATCCGTGCTTTCAGGTTTCAGTGTTAGTGGCAGCCATTGTGCTTTTGTAAGAGTTTTGCGTGAAATGCCTCTACGTAGTCCGGGTACTCCTGGACCCCATATTGGAAAGTGCCACTCGTGAGGACGGGGCCAAGGTCAAAAGGTTCCAAGGGATCACACAAGGTGTTGCTTAACAAGTTCCCTGAGGTACCTCAAGGAGGCATGCAAAAATCAACCTCAGGTTTCGGAACCCTGATTTGCGTGCATGACGTCTCTTGAGGTGGTAGCAAGACTTGTCTGTGGCCAATCAAGATGCCTGCTGTCTTGGCGGTTTGCCCAATCGCTGTAGGGATGCGGTAGGACGAAATCTAATCATGCGCACCCACTACGGTACTAGTCCAGCTAAGAAAGTCGGTTGCAGGTTGATGTTTTGCAATAATGACCCGTAATTCCCGCAAATCCCTTATAGCCATTTGTAGGACCCTGAGGGTACTAACGGGATAGGTAACCTGCTTCGAAAGGTTTTACAAAAGGGCTACTATGATATTGCTTAAAAAATCTACCTAAACCCCAGAGTCCTTCAACGTAGAGCGGTATGCCTTCCTGACTTCGCCGTCGCTGGATCCATGAGCACCAATGCTTGGAGGCGCGGCTTGTAACTATCGCCAAGACCCTAAACGCTGGTTAGGGCACACAAAGTTCCAAGTCTTGGAGGCCACATGTTGACATTGACTCAGGGTTTTCGAATGGCTTGCAGAGCTAAGGCCCCATGGAAGCAGCTTGGGAGATTAGTGCTTGGGAGATTAGTGTTCACATGCATGGAGCCTGTAATTTGACATGCTGTGGCGAGGACTACCAAGCGAGTGATAGGGCTCAGTCTGGGGTCAGTGAGTTAGATATGGTACGCTCCATTTAAGCAGAGCTCCGCCGGGTCACAAGAAGAGTTGCTACGGTATGTTGTCAAAACAAAGCTCTAGCCCTAGCTACAGACCTCAAACAAAAACCGAAAAAGAGTCCATTAGCAATCCTGCCATGTGAACGTCTGTCTTCGCTGGTCAGGCTGCTGATGTTGGAAAGCATTCTGGGTTGCAGTTAAGGAACTTAAATCAAATTGCAATATTTCTGAGGGATATGGTTGCGACAGAGTTTCCTTGTTATAGTAACTTGAACAGTTCCTGAACAGCAACCCAGTATTTCGAGTCCAACTAGCTGGCTGTCGCTGGCTTTGCCCTGGTTTGATGGTGCTTCGCCTGCATTGGCATGTCTTTGTCTAGGCTATCTTTCCACCCACTACAAGTGACCACAAAAAATGGGTATCTCATATATTCCTGTTATATGACTCTTCGTGGATGGGGGCACCACATATTTGATTCTTCGTCGCTTTGCCGTTGCTAGCTTGCCCCTTCGCTTGCTTATTTTATGATGGTTCCAACTCGGCATGCATGAGCCCTTACATTTCAGCATTCCTTTGCAACCATGCAGACTGCCTAGATGTAGAAGTGCCCTTTCTTGGTAATGAAGTGTCACAAAACAGATATGCGCAGATGTGTCCCACATCGCGAAGTGTGGGGATACGGCCACAACATTCTGGCCAGATAAGAGACCACAGCCACCATGCTCAATTCCGAGAGGCCTTTTCCGACACTGTCCTAGCTTTGTCAGTATGCACTCAATTGACAGAAAGCAGGAACCCGACCAGACACATCATTCGCTATGCGCTTAAAGCATTACAGAAGATCATGCATCGTGAAAATGATGGGTTTTCGGCTTCCGAAGGGATAGTTGTAAGGAATCAGCATGGCATCAAGCCCCTGCCATTCATACATACAATTGATGCTAGCATCCTGCATGACCACCTCGAAGAGTGCGTCTTATGGTTAGTATAGTGATTAAGGTCATGCCGGACTTCTTTCATCAGCAGAAGTGGCTTGAGCAGGGCTTCCCGATTTGTTGCGTAGAATCCTAGGATACTCACATCTAGGCAGGCGCGTCCAATAAAGGTCCGTGGCCGCCTATCCTGAAAGCGGATCCTGTGAGTACTTGAACTGGGGGCCTAAACCCTAAACCCAGGGTTTAGGGTTTAGACCGTGTCTATGTGATCACGTCGGTGCCACAGGCACGAAACTCCGATCAAAGCTGAGGTAAGATGCGCTCCTGTAAAGACTTTCGATTTTTCCCGTCTAGGACCCAGAGTCCCGAAACCCTATATACACCCAATTGTAAAACAGTAGTTTCCATTTCATTTTCCATTCTTCCAATATAACCCCTATATATAAACCCTATAGCGCAACTCCTAGTATTCCGAGGGCATCTTCCATAACCAGCAACTCTGAATCTCTGAGGGAGTGAGTCTAAATCTTGATCTCATTATGGTTTAAGGGGTTTAGGGTTTAGGGTTTAGGGTTGCAAGAATTGAAGGTTTGCTTTTAGGCAATGTGTGCTTGATTGGCAGCTCTTTTGTTTCCTTCAGACCAGCCTATGCCATGCTATCGCACATAGGAGGTGCTCAGTCTCCTTAGTTGTGGTGTATATACCGCAGTTATTGGGGGATAGTGGAAGAGAACATAGAAACTACTATATAGGGAGATATAGGGGTAAATAGGGATGATGGAAAAGAAAATGGAAACTACTATTGAGGGTGTAGGGTTTAGGTTTTAGGGTTTGGTGTTTTGACTGGGCCTTCTTTCGCGCCCCGCAGAGTTTGAATGAATTGTTAGCTTAGAGCCTAAAATTCGCAATTCCCAGAAGTGAAAGGCCGCAAAACGGACATTTGTAACATGAGAGTTTTGATTAAAGGAACCTGCAAAGGAGATCGCAGTTCAAAGTCCATGTCGAGATAGGTTTTGTTCCTTATCCCTAGGCATCTAAGTATACAAACAATATTTACATTGGCCCCCAAAGTCTGTAAATATTGCCTACATTGGGCTATTTGGATCCCTAAATTATCTAGGATAATAGCGGGTCGATACTGCTTTGGGTGCAGACCTCTTCCCTGAACTGGAGGTCGGTTGCAAGAAAGGTTTCCCTGACTCTTGCCCTAAACCCTACACATAGGGTTGCCTGCAAATCCTGGGAAATCCATGGCGAAGGGGGTCCAAGAGGTCGGGTACTATCTCGGGCCAGCAGTCACAACTTTTAGCCCCGGAATCTTTCAAATGCCAGGGGTTCGTCTCAAGCTCTAATCCCTGAGCCAGACCTCTAAGTGCGGGAAACGCAAAGCCCAACCGTTGGGAACCGCCGAGGCGAAAAAGATGCTTCAGCGGCGATCCGGATTGTCCCTTGAGGTGATGGGCTAGCATTATTTGGGTTGATTTCAGTGTGACGATTATGTTGTTCTTGCCTTTCCTCGTCTTCCTATTTGTCTGTCTGTGTGCTTCTTCATCTTCATGTTGTTGGTGAGAGTGCATGGTCGTCGACACTGCTGTTTTTGTGGCCATTGTCGTGGTCGTTATGGTGATGGCCAACTTCATGGTTCTGGTCGCAGTGGTGGTCGTGCTAGTGGTCGTCGTTGTGGCCGCTGTTGTAGTCCTGGTGGTGGTGGTAGTGGTGGTGCTGGTTGTCGTGGTCATGGTCGTCCTCGTGGTCGTGGCCGTCGTCGTCGCCGCTGCTGCCCCAGCAGTCACCGCTGGAGCGTCTCCATCGTCTTCGTCCTCGTCCTTGTCCTTGTTCTCCTCCTTTTCTCGTCACAGGCGGGGTTGCCGTCGGCGTAGCCGTCGCCGCCGTCGTTGTGGTCCCGGCACTCATGGCCGTGGGTCCTTGTGGTTGTCGTGGTCGAAAGTAGTTGTAGAGGTAGTGGTAGTGGAAGTCGCAGGTAGTGGTAGTTGTAGGCCTAGTTGTGCTGGTACTGGTAGTGGTGGTGGTGGTAGTAGTAGTAGTAGCAGTAGTAGTAGTAGTAGCAGTAGTAGTAGTAGTACTACTACTACTACTGCTACTACTACTACTACTACTACGCGCACGTCGCGTATTTGACAGTGTGCTTTTGGTCACACAGGTGCGCATCCCAGCAGGGCCAGCATTTTTGTATTTTCGTCATGTCCAGTTGCCGGGGCGGCAACGTGTGCATTTTCCGCAGCACAACCTTTCCAGCTCAAAGACGATGGCTCCGCAAGTCCACCGTTGCTGCGCTTGCGGTGAAGCAGGCCACCGTGTTGAGTCCTGCAGCTCTGAGGCCGCTGCTGTTATCCGGCCTCTGAAGCCCGAGCTCCAAAAATCAAAATAGAAATCAGGGTCCCTATATCCTAGGACAAGCCCCGAACGCATAAAATCAAAATAGGAAGTAGGGTCCCCACATCTTAGGACAAGCCCTCAACTTCAAAAATCAAAATAGAAGTCAGGGTCCCCATATCTTAGGAAAAGCCCTCAACTTCAAAAATCAAAATAGAAAGTAGGGTCCCCATATCTTGGGACAAGCCCTCAACTTCCAAAATCGGCCGAATCTTGGACGAATGGGAAAATTGAGAATTAGTTCAAAACTCCTCAGACCTTTGGACTACTGGAACTTAGCTTGGGCTACTGGGCCGTATCTCGGACTAATGGGAAAATTGAGAATTAGTTCAGAACTCCTCAGACCTTTGGACTGTTGGAACCTAGCTTGGGCTACTGGGCCGTATCTTGGACTAATGGGACATTGAGAATTAGTTCAGAACTCCTCAGACCTTTGGACTGCTGGAACTTGGCTGGGGCTAATGGGCCGTATTTCGGACTAATGAGGAAATTGAAAATTAGTTCAAAACTCCTCAGACCCTTAGATTACTGGAATTTAGCTTGGGCTACTGGGCCGTATCTTGGACTAATGAGAAAATTGAGAACTAGTTCAGACTCCTCAGACCTTTGGACTGCTGGAACTTAGCTTGGGCTACTGGGCCGTATCTCAGACTAATGGGAAAATTGAGAATTAGTTCAGAACTCCTCAGACCCTTGGACTGTTGGAACTTAGCTTGGGCTACTGGGCCGTATCTTGGGCTAATGGGAAAATTGAAAATTAGTTCAGAGCTCCTCAGACCTCTGGACTACTGGAACTTAGCTTGGTCTACTGAGCCGAATCTCGGACGAATGAGCAAAATGCGTTTTAGCCGCCCCTCCGAGAAAGTCCTAAATCTGTCCGAAACCACCGTAAAACGCATGCGAAGTGAGGAAAACACTACCGTCAAATATACGACGGTCCCCTAGTACTAGTAGTCGTCGTCGTCGTAGTAGTCGTGGTAGTCGTCGTAGTAGTAGTAGTAGTAGCAGTAGTAGTAGTAGTAATGGTAGTAGTAGTAGTAGTCGTCGTCGTCGTCGTCGTGGGGGTGGTGGTGATGGTGGTGGTGGTGGTGGTGGTGGTGGTGGCGGCGGTGGTCGTCGTCGTCGTCGCCGTTGTTGTTCTTGGTGATGGTTGTGCTGGCGGTGGTGGTGGCAGCAGCTTTCGTCATCCTTGTGGTCATCGTTGTCATGGTCTTCGTCGTCGTCCTGGCCGTAGTTGTCTTGGTAGTTGTGGTTTGTGTTGCTGTAGCCGAGGTAGTGTACTTAGAGCATGACATGAGCTAAAGACGAACTATAAGGAAGATCCTCAACCACCACCGCCGCCGCTGCCGCCACCACCACAGCCCTCGCCACTGCCACCAAAGCCGCCGCCGCTACCGTCGTCACCAAAACCACCACGGGCGGCAGCAGCAAACACGACAACAACGGCACAAAGACAGGCAACACTTGCAAGACTAGCAGCAGCACGATCAGCAGCAACCGTAGTAACTGCAGCAACAGGAAGAAGAACCCCTTTGCAGGGCATCGCTGGCTAGGCTTCCAAGTTCCAGGTCGTGGAACCAACGTCCCCGCTTGCAAGTTCTCCCCTAACTAGGCACAACGGCCTTACCTAGCTTTCATGTGTCTCATTACAGGGGATCTGCGGTTTTGCAGAGCAACAAGGTAGATAGACAGCAATGGCCAAACCACACCAACACATTAGGCTGGTGTCCCACATGTACAGCAAATTTGTCGGATTACGATCCTCGTATTGCTACGTGCCAGTAGGTTGTGAACCCGTGGACAACCCCAACCACAGAAGATTTCGCATCCCTGACAAGATGGGTTGATCTGAGTTCCGCAGGATCAGCTCCGGCAACAGAAGACCTACTCACAAAGTTACCTATCTTGAGCACCTGAAGCAAGTATTGTTAGCAGAGAGGAATTGGATTGCTTGCCGGACAGTTGCAGACAAGCCAGACAGGAAAAACAATGCATGGGGCGAATGCCGCTGTACTCAGAAGCACTGCTGCTACAAGCTCAGCACAGGCCTGGCTTGGTTACCTGTGGCAGACAGGGATTACTAGGCTCACTTGGTCTTTCCACATAGCCACCTGTCTGGATAACATGCATACGCCCTGCGAGACACTGTCTTTTTGGCGTAGCCCTTAGGCCGCTGCTCATAGACATGGAAGCCCACTGGACACTGCCCTTTAGGTTTCTGGTGGTTGAGGGGGCCTGCCAACCATGGCAGTGGCATTGGTGCTGCAGAGACGGGATCACGAAGGTGATAGCAGCAGTAGATGCCACTGTGTAACAGTTCTTGTAGTGGTGATGGATGCAACATTATTGATGGTCTTGAATGTCGCCGTCGTTGACCTTACTGCTGCCAGGTGGAACGCGCACGGTCACTGTACGAACACGCAGCAGTGTCTCACTTGAAAGCATAATTCCACAGGCAAAGCCCGTCATTTCTTCGCTTACCTAGAGAGAATTGAAGGGGTTGCGCAGGATTTCAGAATCTATCTCGGCTAGATACCCATACTTGTGCATTCTGAAGTAAACGAGTCTTGACGTAAGGTCCAGAACTTGATGTATACAGCAGGTTCTGAAGAGTTGTGCTGTGCCATTCTGCTCTGAGTTGATGATGCAACTCTCGGGCGCTGCTTCTGCATCTAGATTTCCAGGAATAGAGATTCCTCTAAACAAGGCCATTCCGCTGCGGTACGCCGCGTTGTGGGGCTTTGAGACGAAGTCTACGGGTAAAGTCATTCTGGATTTGTTTGCAGGGAGCAGTGGCGCAAGGGTTGAGCATATGGGACGTGCTGTTGGAGTTGTCAGTCAGGTAAGTGCACTGGCAAACGAAATTGTTCTTAGGTGCTTGGACTTCGTCCGATACAGGCTAGGTCTCTTAAGGATTCCTTTACGTGGAGTCTATCTAGGCGATTATTAAGGCCTCCTCTGATGTCTTGTGGCTCAAGGTTTCTTAGTTTTTGAGGCCCAGTGAACTCAGCCAGCAGGCGCGGTGGCAAAGAGAGTGTGCGGCACTTGGCTCAATGGTTTCGGTCTGCATTCCATCCTAGCGGGCAGGTGCGGGATTGACATTTCAGGTGCCCTAAAGGATAAACCCTTCGGGTACCCAAAGCGCTTGGTTGTGGATTCTGTGCATGCCTGCGCCCCTGTAGCCGCACCATGATCGCTGACTCTGCGCCTTAATTATGGGAATCTTCATAGTCACAAAGTCATCGCCATGAATCCACAGCAAGACTGGACCCTGGACAGAACAAGCAATGCCTTTTTCTCATCTTTTCGTGGCAATCATGCCGGGTGCAGCTATCCTTACCGCAAATCACATACACACCTTTGATCCCATCACTGCTTTTGATTCCAGAACGACCTCCTCTAGCGACCGATGTAGGAGGGTTCTTTTTTTTGAGGCTCCTATGGCAGGGCAAAGTATGTTTAGAGGTATCGATGCTATGATGCCCCGTCACCATGCCACGCTCTAGCCATTTGTTTTCGCAGTTACTTCCATTGAATTACACAGTCGAAAGACTAGATCGACTGTTTCTTGTGCAACAAGATCGCAATTAATGTCACCAGAAGTGCGTAATTGAGTACTTTCAGCATCGCTGTGTTGCTCTTTGTTGGTCATACTGTTGATCTTAGAAATCCTGCATGACCTACATGTATTATACGTAGTATCATGATTCCCAAGGTGTGGGGTACTGAGGGTCATGCAGGATTTTTGCTATCCACCGTAGGAGCATCGGTAGCGCCATTCGAGTAGATCTGAAGCCGCACGTCGGTGTTTTAAAGTGCTGTGTTGTCCTTTGACTGCTTGCTTTGCTATGATCCTTTCCAGTGCATCATCATTTTTTCAGTGATTGCGGTGGTCGAGTTCATAGCATCTGTTTTGCTGACGGCTAGGGTTTCATGAAGGGTGCGTTTCGGCAGTGCTTCTTACGGCATGAAAGCGAAACACTAAACCTAAACCGCTGATTTCTGAAACTCACGTCCCAGCAATATACTGGAGGCTTCCTCGTGCTAAGCTCAAGTCTTCGGAGCTTTTTCTTGGCACCCCAAGGTTAAACCTCTGCAGCTGCTAGCCCAAAGCTCTGCAGTACATCCCAGACTGAAAATGCCCCGAATTCATGCAACACCGCTACTTGCACCAGAGGACCGGTGCCCCAACAGCGTTGCCCTCTCAATGGATAGCATCGTATCAAAAGCACGCTAACAGAATATAAGACATTACAACAGCAGGAGCGGTTGAATTTCAATAGTACTTGCGTTGAGCCTGGGCGCGCATCTTTCAAGCCCTGAGCCTAGACGTCAATACTCAATTGCGAAAGTGATGAGTGAAGCGCAAAGGTGTCTTCTCATGAGATTCAGCCTTGAACTGCTTGAGTAGTACTTCCAAACCGGTTTAGGCGTACTGCTTCTTCCCTAAACGCTGAACCCGGTAGATGCTCACCACCCACCCCCGGGAGTAAACGTCTAAGACATTGGTGCGCTTGCCCCGCGTATAAAACACATCAAGCGGGGTACCCAAACCGGCTCATTCTGCTGGATTCATCGGCCCAGGTAAAATCGGGGGAACAAAGTGTGCATGTAAAGTGATTTGTGGCTGCTTCAACACTGGTTCAATCAAAACAGGTCACGCGCTAATTAGACAGTAGAAGTGGTCACGCTCTACCACTCCCCTGAGGATACTGCTTCGCTGGCCCCGATCGCAGCACCCCCGGAGGCTCAGCACCCAAAGGTTGAAATGATGATGATGGTGATGAATTCGGTTCTTATGATTATCATCATTATTGTTCATTCTTGTATTAGAAAACATCTTGTGATTCTTGTTACAATGAAGAAAATTACATTATTGCTATGATTACTGTTAGTATTCGTACTGGAGCAGCCATCTCGGGGCAAGAGCCCCCCGCTCGTCCAGGGAGATTTGACACTTCTGTGTGACGCTGATGATGATGATTCGTACTGGAGCTTTCAATTTTTCGGATTTTAGGCGGCATTCGGGCATAAATGTAGTCGACGGCCTTAGTTTCCCTTACAAGCCTGAAGCCTTAGTTCGGGCAACAAGTATCGGGCCGGCCAGCTCCGGATTCCTGATTGTGTTCCGACGGGAAACTCAAATCCGTGACCTTATTTGGGTATCAGCCAAACACAAATGAGCTCAGGGGATGGGGGCAGTGTTTGAGCTTTGTCACAGCTCATTGTGCTCAGCAGGGTGTAGACTCAGTATATATATACTTGGTTGCTTTACATAATGAGGTTTCTCAGCCTTGCGAGGTGTGGTGGCACTTTGATTATTGTCAAATTGTCGCTATTCGTAGTGTGATTTGCCTATCCTTTTGTTGCTAGTACAGCCATTGTCATGACGAACATGAGTTGTTGATGGCATGTTTGAACATGAGCATGTGGCGGCAGCAAAGTGTTTCCTGTTTATTCTGAAGAAGATGACGGCAACAGCGATGAACAGCGATGAGGAGGAAGAAGAAGATGATCGCACGCTGCCAGGTGGTGATGATGATGACGACGGCGATCCTTTTTATAGCCCTTCAAGTATTTTTTACATGCAGTGTTTGCAACCAGGTTGACTTAATGCTGGCCTGACGTTCGCCATCTTCAGCCGCGGTTTGCAAGGGGCATGCGCAAGGGAAACGCCTGAGGAGGTGTGCCATGGAGGTCCGTAAAAAACCCAGCAAGATTCTTTTCCCCACAAAGCGGGAGGGGCGAACATGCTTCACTTTTGTCAGTATATGTCTATGAGTTGGTGCTCTGTGAGACCCGGGCATTCTCAAGCGACATTACAAAGATTCATGCAGCGCGTGACCATCCAACAGTCATGAAGCCAAGCTATACGAAGCTTCCCAAATCTCCTGTCTAGATGGGCAGCCACCGAATCCTTGCACCGCTACAGAGATACAACATTTGCGACACCCTGCACGCACTAAAAAACATTGTCAATTTTTCTTGAGCTACGCTCGTGATATCCTTCTTGTTTTTCATGAGGACTGGTGATCAGTGCAACATTATTTGGGCATTCCAGTTGTTGTTCCACTCCCTGTATAATCCTTCGTAATCCTAGCGTGCACAAAGTATTCAGGCGCTTCGTGGGATAATCGCGGACTTATCCCTAAACCCGAAACGCTGAAACCCGGTACAAGCCCACCCTAAATCCAAAACCCTAAACCTTGCATTCTGAGGTGGATGAAGAGCCTGGGTGGGGCACCTGGCGTATAGTGTCATGCATACTGGAGAATTACAGGAAACAAGGTGGAAGTGAAATGGAACCTGGGTTTACCTAGTGATCTTTGAGGATTGAAGGTAGGAGCCTCACTATTGTTTCCAGAGGTAACCAAAACACAAGTGCATTAGGGTTATGAGGGATCATATCTCTAGTTGTAAGTTGTAGAGGTTTCTCCATTGCAAGCCTCATGCACCTGACTTCTGCCACGAAGGTCTGCTCATCCTTCACTAGTTCTGGTGCAATTCAAGGAATCCAAGTCGTCCCTTTGTGTGTATCTGCCAACAACTGAAGGAGGTAGACTGTCAACAGCATTTGGTAGGCTTTCCCCTGAACTTCAGCTCCAGCCGACGACTGACGTCCTAAATCACTACACCCACACCCCGCGTTCTTTGCAGTCAGAATTGTAAACCGCAATTCCAAAAGATCTAAATCCAGACGACGGAGCATGGTACAACCCACTGAAGGGTGGCGCTTGCTCCATCCCGTCAGGACTGCTGGGCTAGGGACTCGTGGGCCTTTTCTACCTTGTGGGAATACAAACAGGAATATGGAAAGTATAACTGAAGTATACGAGAGGTTTTGTCCAGAAATTCCGTGTAGATGATAGGCGCTAGTTTCCGTTCAGTGCGGCATGGTGTACATGTACAGGGAGGAAATTTGAACTAGTCGTGTTCTTAAGTTGACAGCTACCTTTTCAAGCTCTACTCCTTACCCAGAAAACACGAACAGAAAAAGGGCCACGCAGACTTTGCTCCTGTTGTTTGGTGGGACGTGCTGGGCGTTCATGTATCGGCACTGTATATGTGGACGTGGCCACGTCAAAATACACCTATCTACATGATGCTTGAAAGTGTATAGGAACCGTGTAGATCAGAAGACGCCTTTGTGGGTATTCCGCAATACCTATACAAAGCCAGGAGATGACACGAGTGGAGCCTTTGCACGATGTGGAGCAGCAGTTTGCGGCAGTGTCCGGTTCCTACTGAAGGTGGTAGTCCGCTTCCTTCAAAATAAGCCACCTCCCAAATAATGAAAACTCCGCTCCATAATTGGGAATATTTGACTTTGAGGGTGAGCTAATGCTACACATGTTGTTGCTCTTGGTGATTTTGGGTTGGTCTGCACACATGAAGCTTGTGGTGCTTCTTCCCCGGCACTCGTCCACGAGTCACGGACGACATGTTTGCCGCCTGGATGTAGAGTGGTGATGACGATGATGGTGATGATGATGATGGTGATGGCGGCAATCATTGTGGTGCTGCTCCTGCTGTTGATGATGATGGTAATGATGGTGAGGACGGCGAGGATGATGATGATGAGGATGACGGTGGCAGTGGCTGTGGCGGTGGTCTTGATGATGATGATGACGGTGACGATGGTGATGATGATGACAATGGTGATAATCGTGATGATGATGATGATGATGATGATGGCGATGATGATGATGATGGTGATGATGATGATGATCATGATGCTGCTGCTGCTGATGATGATGATGATGATGGTTATGATGGGTACTAGTACTACTATAACTATTAGTATCAATATTAGTACTATTGTTATTCTTTTTCTTATTATGATGATGCTGAAGCTGCTGCTGATGATGGTGGTGATGATGGCGATGAAGGCGGTCATGATTGCATTCCCATGTCTCTGCAGCTTGCGTGTCCGCGAAGCTTTTGCCTGGAGTGTAGCCATGCTAATTGCTAAGCCTTTGACACGATACACCCTGCCCCCGGCCTCAGGCCGCGTCTTCTCACCCCACAAAGTTCACATGTGACATGTGCCATCGACCCACTTCTCAAGGAATTGGAGCCCCTCGGACCCTCAGTCGCCTCAGAGGTTCAGGGCTCACAAGCCCAACTTGGGGAAACTCCCCATTTTCATTACTACCACTCATGATAGTTCTTTCGTAATTAGCTCACACCTTCTGCAAACCCAAACTTGGGAGCAGAACTCCCTAAACACTGGATTCCAAGAAGCCCAGAAACCCAGTCCGCTGAGGATAGAAAGCATTTTCCCGCTGCCTGGGAAGCCGGCCCATAACGCTAGGCAGATGTCAGGGGCTATAGGGTTTAGGGTTTAGGGGTTTAGGGTTTAGGGGTTTAGGGGTTTTGGGTTTAGGGGTTTTGGGTTTAGGGGTTAGGGTTTAGGGGGTTTAGGTTTTAGGGGTTTAGGGGTTAGGGTTTAGGGGTTTACGGTTAGAGGTTAGGGTTTAGGGGTTTAGGGTTTAGGTGTTAGGGTTTAGGGTTTAGGGGTTTAGGGGTTCAGGGTTTGGGGGTTCGGGTTTAGGCTCTAGGGGTTTAGGGTTTAGGGGGTCAGGGTTTAGGGGTTTAGGGTTTAGGGGTTTAGGGTTTAGTGTCTAAGGATATAGGGCTATAGTCCCCCTTAAGTGGATAGAATGTGGTATATTATCGGGGGTTTTTATAGGGACAATGGAAAAAGAAAACGGAAACTACTATTTAGGGTTTAGGGTAAAGTGGACAGAATATGCGATTTATGGGGATCTTATTATTAGAATATTCTCAAAGCCATAATCTATCTACTTAAGGGGGGCTATATAGGGTTGAGGGTCTAAGGATACAGCTTCTACTGTAGTCTCCTCAGGTTTTTTTTTTTATCATCGTACAACCCTAAGGAATTATTGAAAACGCTATATCTATAACAAGTCTAAGGAGACTACTTTATATAGGGAGAATGGAAAAGAAGATGGAAACTACTCTCTGGAATTCAGAGTTTACTGTTTAGGGGCTATTGGCATCATGGGGGATATTTATAACATGCCGTGGAAACCGGGATTGCAGCGTTCAGGGCTACGGAAACCCCAGTTATAGCCAGGCAATGTCCTGCAGCCGCCTATAGTTATGCTTCTGGATAACATTGCAGTTTCGCAGCATACCTAGCTAGAGCAGATGTCTAGGGCCAGGACACAATGATGGTTTCGTTTGTCATCTCCTGGACAGGTTGTAGCTTAAGCAGATGCGCCCACCAAGAACATATACAGCTTTTTCTTCGAACGTCCCCACCCTTACCTTTGTGTGCTTGCGATGCATCATCAACTACCCCCTGCAACCATATGGAGCATGTTCCAGTGATGTAATATCAGAAGCGTTGCGCCAGACTGCAGACATAACAACTGTCCATTCCAAGCACTATTGTGGGGTGGTGAGGTGGCTTGGGTAAGGCTTGGAATTTTCATAGTTCTGTTCTGGCATTGGGCACTGCAGGGATACCCAGAAGAGGTTGGGGCGCTGCAGGGAGCCTCTGGAATACTCTGGGTTTGGCAGGATACTCTCCACGCCAGAGATACTCGACGGTGGGATACTCTGCGTTTGGGCACTGCGCGGAAGGTGACGGAACATAGATTTCTTCAAATCTAACAACCTCGCTGGGAGGGTGGTGCATAACCCCACTGAGGGTGGGGAATTAGCCGCACTAAGGTCTAAGAAGGTCAAGAAACCCGAAGGAGATGCCGCTTGTGCAAAGATTTCCTCAAGCGCCAGATATCATGTTGTAGTCAAGTACTATAGAGAGTACTGCAGTTATCGAGTAATAGAGTATTAAAGCAGTGGGGGTTCGAAGTGGAGGCCTCATGGGATTAGAAACTTCCCGTGCATCTCATGTTCAGATCTACGTGCAAAACATCCTGCTACCATCCCAAGGAGCCCTGGGTCTTCCTCATCAAGACAGGGGTACTTGCAAAAATGCAGCTTCCCCGTATACACTCCCCAAATGGAACCCAAAACGGCTTGGGATCCTCCACATGATCATTTCTTCAAAGTCCTGGCTGACTAGTGCTAATGGAATCCATGGTCCATGGTAGGATGTCAGTTGACATGGTCATCTTAGGTTTAGGTTCAGGGCTTAGGGTTTAGGGTCCCAAGGAATCGCCCCCAATACTAGAGTCCCTGTTACAGGGACCCTGCAAGAGCGACCTCTAATTTGCCCTTGTAACGGTTTCCCTTAATTGGGGAAACCAATACAGACACCCCAAATAATATAGACCGTCTTGCAAGTACCCCCGAAAAGGTATGCCCAAGTCTGGGAAACCCTCATTTTACCCAAAGCATCTCGTTAAGCAGGCAAGTCAGTCGTCGAGCAGTCAAGGTGGGCTTCCTGGGGTTCCAAGTTCCGAGTTCCTAGCGCCTACAGGGGTTACATAAGGATAATGGAAAAGAAAATGGAAACTACTATATTGGGGCTAATGGAAGAGAAAATGGAAAATGCTATATTGGGGTTTTGGGGTATAGGGTTTAGGGAATTGGGCATAAGCATAGAATCAGAACAGATTTGGGAATTACATGAGTAGTGGGATTCTGGACTCTGAATCCCAAACTCTAAACTCTGTACCCCAACGTGTAGGGGGGCTGGAGTCACAGGACTGCCTTGCAGTTTGGATTTGGAGGCTTTGCTGCATGTCTCAAGGTGTACGGGGTCAACACGAAGGTCTCAACCGCAAGATTCTTGGCACGCAAGTGGTCAGTTGGCTCCGTGGCCTGCACGGGCAAGCTGAGCGAATGGCAAATCCATTTGCCTTTGCCAGAGCAAAATTGCATTGACATGTTTGGGTTGCGGGGCGCGCAGGGCCTGAGGCTCAGGATGCGCGAGCAGGTACTGGGGCGAGGAGGTGCAAAAGTGCATTTGTGCAGAATTCTAAGGTGCGAAATGTTCAAGTCCCAGATTTTGGGTGTTCATGATTCCGATTCTCAGAGCTTAGTCTCTATAGGGTCTTATTGAGGCTGTCTGAACAGAGGAGATTCTGGGATAGCAAGTCTCCCCATGGAAGCCTTCTTCTAGCCTTCTGCCACCAGGAGCCCCGCCCACTTGTTCTGTTGAAGACAAGCCCTTGCAGAACCCCCCAAACACATGCAACGATTGCGTGAACTTACTGCAGAAGTACGGTGGCTGATCATGGGGTTCCAGTTGTGAGGGGATTTACTTCAGCAGTCCAATTTGCGGCGGATTCTGTCGTGAGCCTGGCGGGTGCGGTAAGCCCTGAAACTGAAAGTCTCGAACCCCACGCGTCTTCACCCACGGCTGAGTCCCAAGCGGCAGACGAGACATCAGTTGCTGTTTTGTAGAATCTGAGCTTTGCATCCTGTATTCGCGTGGCTAAGCTGTTTGTGCAGTGTGTCCTGACGGACCCTAGAGATAGATGGTGATGATAAGGAGGTTGGGCGCTTCCCTCGAGCATATTAGAGGATGATTTTGAGAAAGCCCCACATCTTTGCCTTAGTCGTGTACTGGTCTCCACCACTGGGCAGAAGTTGTCAGCGATTCAGCAGGCACGACGTAGCCCATGAAGTCCAATCGCTTGCATAATTGTGAGTTTGAGCCCGCGTCAAAGACAGGTGGGGGAGCCAAGTGGTTGTATACCTTGCGCCATAAACCCTAAACCCTAAACCCGTAAACAAGTCATCAGCCCTTTCAAGCGTCTACGCAGGGTTTTCTACCACGTTGGCAGGTGGTGTCTCCACCTGCCACGCAGGACTTTTGCCCAGGCCTGGGTTTAGGATTTAGGGTTTAGGGTTGTAGGCGGTTTGGAGTGGTAGTGCAACACCGGAGGATGTAGGGTTTAGGGATTCATTTTCAGGCTTCAGGAGCTCTGTATTGAAGGAGGATACCAAAGACAGCGACACCTTGACTTTTCAAATTCTGATATGACCCAGAGCCTCTACACCAGAGAGAACTGCTTCCAAAACTCCGGTCTCCCGATGCCAAACCGCAGACTCCCGATGCCTGCAGGCGTAGAGTCAGAGAAGCACAGGCCCCGACAGGCTGCGAGGGCTTCGGTACAGCATGACTTAGACTTCGGTTGCCCGATGATAGGAGACTGAAATGGAACATGGAATCGAACATGAAATGGAAACCAACCCTTGATCCCTTTGAAGGGGCATATAGGGTTGATATATGGTCATTACCTCAATTATGGAGAATGAATTGGAAAACTAAAGGAACCTGGGCTTTCATGGGGATTTTAGTATAAGGATATATAGGGGAATGGAAATAGAACAAGGAAAATGTTATAATATTGGTTGTAGATTGTTAACAAATCAGGGCCCATGGCTCACAGTGGTGACGGTCAGGCGGTGGGAGCCTGATCTTTGACCTCTTATTCTTTCATTGGCATGGTTTGGTAACTGCTAGCTAGGACCATAGAACGGCAGAATCAGAAATTCCAAGAGGCACCAAGACAGGAGGTCTAGGCAGCAGGGATGTTAGAGTTTCCGTGATTGATGCAGCTCCTTGTGCGTTTCCGGGCAGTCTGTATGAGTTGATGGAGCTGCCCCCACCCAGAGATTCCCCGTACCAGGGTAGGATGCTTACACGTACGCTCTGGTCAAACCCTACTCTACATCCTGGCATGACCCTACATACCCTCACCTCAATTGTGGAGCTTCATTGCTGGCTGCAAAACCCAGAAAGCTGTGACCCTGACAAGATCAAGCAAGCCTTGTTGTGACAGTGATACTGCGCTCCGCGCGAATGCTTTATGAGACAGGGGACCTCGAATGATACAGAAGGCCAGGGGTCGGGATCAAGGGCCGAAGACCAGACTTAACAATGAGTTGATTGTGGAGGCATGTAAGTTGTTGCATGAAGACATTTCTTACTTCGCAGGCTTTGGCCCTTATGTAAGCCCTATATGGCCCCAGTGTGTTTAGCTATTTTCTAATTTTCTTTTTTAGTTGATGCTCCTTGTTTATGCTCCTTGTTTGGTGCGGTTCTTGTAGATGGTCTTGGTTTCGATTTCCCAAATGGATCTCTCTCCATCGCGCCTCACGAACTTTGATACCACTATGTGTCGGGTTGCTCACCCCCAGTTACAGAAGTATGGAGACGCGCACGCTGAGAAGTTACGTGTCTTGTTAATGTGTACCTGGATATGTCTTTGGCATGCTCCTGCTTCGAGGCAAGTCCCCAAATCTCTACACCTTGTTACTATTTCTAGCATTATTAGTATAACCACTGCTACACCTACAATATTATCTCTCTGCCGTATGATTGTGCAAGGCCAAACTGCTTCCACTGCTAGTCCGCGAACGGGCGCGGGTGCCTCAGAGTCGGGTTTCCAGAAATAGGGTGCCCAATACAGACCCAAGTGTACAGCATCAGGCTGCCATGATTGTAGGGATATATTCTAGTATAATATTTTAGGGGAGTATATAGGGATAATGAACAAGAAAATGGAAACTGCAGGGATTATACATGATTATAGAGGGGTTATATAGGGTACAGGGGTGCCTAATTTTTGGAAACCCCAGTAAGGCTCTCCATAGCTTCCTATAGCTCGTCGCGGCTTTGGCCTGTACAGTTCCTGCTGGTTCCTCATAAGGTTTTGAGGTCGGTTGGCTCTTATGCGCAAGGGTCGGAGAACCATCGGTTTTGAAGGAAGGATCTTGGGTTTGGGGTTTAGGGTCTTCGAGGGTCTGGGAAGTAGGCTCCAGCCACGGAAACCCTAAACCCTAAACTTACCCCAAACCGCATAACTCCTTAAAGTGCTCTGTGAGCAAGCCAAGGAGGTTGGCTCTTACGTTAGAATTATGTTTTAGGACTAGCCTTATTGCTGAAAAGGAAAGTGCTGGAAGGGAGGGACAGCCCAGGGTGTGTAGCTGTATCTCCACATTGGAGACACACCTAGAGGCCTTGAAGGGGTTGGTTCTGCACTGAAAGTACTTGTCTTCATTGTCCACTCTCCTTTAGGCACCTGTACCGAATGAGCAGAGCCCGACAGAATCTTGGGGACCCCCAACAGTTCTTTATAGTCCCGACATGGCAGGCGTATTCCCACAACCACTCTTTTTAAACCTGCTCACATGTGAGGTGCTAGTGAACGTTTTGCTCATATCGTCGCTTCCCAAATGCACTGTGTGAGCACTTTTGCACGTAGGCTTTAGGCGTTAGTGTTTCAGAGGAGTTCCTCATGTCGTGCAATTTTGAAGCACAGCTTGCTTTGGAGCTTGAGTGGTAGCATGCCTTCTGAGGTGGAACCCGAAGGAGTTCCCCCTGAGGAAGACGCTCAGTGTGCATTGTTGGTTGAACTGCGGCTGGGGAATCCGCTCAGTCGCAGCACCTTGAGCACGGCACATATCAAGGCACAGTGTTTATTCATATGCTAATTTCCCAACATAGTGGGATGCCAATGTAGACCCTAATCTATATTACAATTGTTATTGTAGGGACTCCCCCCAAAAACTACGCCTAAAGTTGAGAGACCCCTATATGCTAATATGGCACCTGTGTGACAGGTTTCCGGAAACTCACATCAGCCCTCGTTCGGGCATATCCTCTTAAGGGCCTGCAAGTTCTGGCCTGATTCTTGGGTTTAGGGTTTAGGGTACCCTTGCCCTTCTGCACCTGCTGATAGGATTTGCGAAAGGTCCATGGGGTTTATAGTTTGGAGGTCGTTTCGTGACATGTGCCTCATATGGCTAGGCTGTCTTATTTTTACTTGTCTCATAATTCTCAGCCAGGGATCACAGAATGGATAGCTATGCTCAATCCCGCTGATGAAGCAACGCTGATCCAACAACTGCTAGATGAAGCACGCCATATTGCCACATTCAGTTGATGCTGTCGAATTTGCTGCTGTAGCCCTTGACACAATGCCAAACCCTGCTAAGCAAGAAACTGAAAATCAGGATCTATCATCTGCAAACCAGGGTCTTAGACCTCTGAACTCCGCACCCTTAAGCTCAAAGCTCTAAGCCCTGGCAAAACCGAAAACGAGGAACTGCGTCGAGCTGGTCAAGGGCGCTCTTGCCACGAGGACTGGGCCATTTCTGTTTAGAGCTTGGACCTCATTGTCGTTATCAAGAAGGTTGTAGAAGTGCTTCCCATGAGCAGTATATCACTAATCGATGCAGCAGGGATTGCAAAAGGGGCATCAGGGCCCTCAATAATGCAGGAAGCCTACAGTTTGTTTTCATACAGTATCCAGCTTCAGACAAGTTAGTGGCCAGGAATCCTCGGTGATTCGAAAGGCAGCTTTGTCACGTCCACTTAGACAAAAGTGGCAATGCCCGCTTCCTATGAAACAGTGTCTCTTGATTTCCATTTTTAAGTGTAGGCATGTCTTGCAAAGGCTAGTCTGTTAGGACGCGACAATACAAAGCTATTCAAAGGCTTGGATCTCATAGTGCAAAGAGCTACTGGCTAGGCGTTTGAAGGGAGTACGTGCCTAGCTTGTTTCTTTAGTCTGTAGCCGTCTTGCGGAGGAAGCCTTGAGTAACACTAGAGTTGTTTGTTATGGCTTCGTAGGGCTCGGTAAGCCTTCCCTCTGTAGTGCTAAGCGTATGCGTTGTATGCCCTCCCACACATTCACGTATAAGGACTGGGAGGAGAGGATCACCCATGTTTGCTGAATGCTTCTCTCACCTGCAAGTGGCCGAAGCACTGCATTTTTCGCCTCGGAAAGACTCGTCAATCGTTAGCACGGATGGGAGCCTTCTTGAACGTATCCTTTGTTGGAAGAAGGTCGCTGTTGGAATTCGTTCAAGTTTTGGGGACTTTGCAGAGCAGGTGTTTGCAACACACGCATGTCGTACATTTTCCGCAGTCTTTTCCATTTGATTCCCTATTGTTGGGAGAATGCCCCAACACGTCCCGAAATACTCCTTTGAAAGGACCTAGGGCTTCTATTCATTTTTCCATGTTCTTTTCCATGTGATTCTCCATCATGGTGACCTGTGGGTATGCCTGAGGGTTGAAGCAGACGTAGGTGGCATCATGAAATCGGGCAGTGGAGGATTGAGAGAGCCCTGGGCGGCAGCTTCATCTTCGTGAACGAGGTGCAAGAAATCCCTAAACCGTAAACCCTAAACCGGCGTTACATCATTGATCCGAGCTTTCTACTGAAGTCCATTCCCAGACTTAGAGGCTTATGCGCATGCCTTGGCAGGGCCTTACGAGGTATCCATGTCTTCCAGCACGTATGAGCAACTTCTCCCATGCATGCTTCATGGCAGGTTCATGGCTCGTGGAATAATTGATATAGGTATTTCATTCGCACATTCTTAAGTGGATCCCGCTACTGAAGCAAGCTCGTTCTACAAGTCACCCAGTGGGCGGAAGCCTGCACGCCTCGATTTTGGTTTAGGGCTTGGTTGTGCCCCCATGGGCTTTGAGAAGACAAATGTCTCGTGCTTCAACACTCGCTGTGGCATGTTCACGTGAAGATATTAAAATACTACTCACATCCCATTATACTATGGTAGCTTCTATTTTCTTTTCCATTATCCCTATAAACCCCCAATATATTTATGTGTTGAGGTTGTAGTGCTGATGGCTGTTGTTGGCTGTTGTTGAAGTGCTTATGCCTGTTGAGGTCATTGTGTTGCAGCCCTAATGTACTATATTCCTCCCTGTTGGGACTCCCAAGAAAGACGCCTGAGCTTTTCAAACCCTAGGCGCCAAGCCCCGATCCCTGAGCCCACATAATGTCAATTAATTGTTGGATGCCTCCTCCTCATCTTCGCTGGATGGGTATATATCATGGGTCTTCATTGTAACTGCAGTTCATGCAAACTTGCAGTTAGGTCCTGAACGCTGCTTTTTTGAAAGCTTTTCAGATAACCCAAGCGCAAGGCGACACATGAAATTATATCATTTCTTCTATCGTAATTATTGGTGAATGAGGCAAGGGGGCCCAAGTAGGATTGAATAGTTCCAGCTGTTGATTTCAACCATGGCTTCCATGCAAATGGCTCCGAAAGCGTGACATACATCAGCTTGTTTTGGAAATTTAGGTTTAGGATTTACGTAGGGTTGAGTGGATGCTCGCCGATACGAAGCGTCTTGTTCTTCAACTAATGAACATGCAGAGCAGGTCCGCATGCACCCGGAGTGCTGTCCAGAAAGCATACGGGGCTTCCCAAAATTCGGGGTACCTTTTTGGGTTCCCAGTAATGAGGGCTATTGTATATTGGGGTCTATATTGGGGTCGCCCTATTTTGGGAAACTACCATATCACGCAAGAATACGCAAACTCTAAGCTTGGTGTTTATACCTGCAGCCTTCTCCAACATGACTTGGGTTGTCTTAAACCTGATTATGTTTCTTGCGTGCAACTTTACCTTGAGATCAAAAAAGGTGAGCCCACCACCAAGACTGTAGAAAAACTAAGCTTGCAAGTTGACGCCTCAGAGTCCTGCTGTAGCTATGGACGGGACAGTCTTAAGATAAGTGCTTCGGAAACGTGCCCCATAGCATGGCAGATTTTAAGGGCTCTTGCTGCTCTGGCCAACGAACCAAATACTAAACTCTATGAACCCTATGCATTAGGTGGTCCCTCCCCCCCACGAATAGGGGCATGATAAGGATAACCTGCAGCTAGAGGGTGGGGGTTGGATGCCCCTGTATTTCAACTCTGAAGCCATCAGCCATCGTCAGGGCGCGAAGAGGCCACGGCTGCATGTCACGTTCGAACTCCCCAAACGTTGTCCGAGGGTTTCTGAAAATGCGCATCTCATATTTGGGAGATCTTTGTATGACGGTCCACCTTTGGAGAAATACCCACCTCACCGTACTCAAGAGAAATTGGATCGGGATGTATGAGGTTGAGGTCAGGGATAAGCCCAGTGGATTCCAAGACATGGTTGAAGAGATCTACTGCAAACAGGGACCCTAAACACCCCTAAACTGAAAACCCTAAACAGTGAACCCAGGCTTAGGCTGGTCTTAAACAGTAACCCTTGACCCTAAATACCTTTGTAGAAGTACCCATGAACCTTACAGAAGCGAGTTCAGGGCTACGCATCTCCTATGCCAGTAGGGTTATGTCGGGGACACATGGGTAGTTCCCAAAATTATGGGCCCCTTATTGATTATAGATTACATTACGTCGCCTGATATTTAGGGGTACCCTAAATCCTAAATGGGACCCTAATTGGGGAATCACCCACATAACAGGGGATACAGTCCGGTCCTGGGCTCTGAGACCCCATAAGCTCAACTGTATGGTTAAGGGCTTAGGATTTAGGGTCTAGGGATATTCACGAAGAGGTAGAGATTGTTGATATTAAAGATTCTGCATGACGTGAATGTACTATTTTTCAATGTATGAGGTACTTTGGGTCATGCAGACATTTGAGTATCCACAGTATGGTTTGTTTCACTGTGTGTCTTCTTGCCTCACTCTTTTTTGGTCAGGCCCTGTGCTCGGCCCTAAGTCCTAAACCCCAAACCCTGAACCCTAGAACCCCTAAACCCCTAAACCCCTAAACCCTAAACCCCTAAACCCTAAACCCCTAAACCCTAAACCCCTAAACCCTAGTTAATGGGTTTGCAGGGCGTTTGATCTGCCAAACCACAGGCTAGTTACATAGCTCGGGAACACCAGGTGATCCCTTGCTGAAAAACCGAAGGCGTACATGAAACAACATACCTAAACCTATATGAGCTACAGTCTAAACCCCCTAAAGGGGGGGATATATAGGGGATTATATAGGGGACTAGTATAGTGGGTATTAAGGGGGATACTAGGAGTTTAGACTATAGAACAGATAGTCCCCCTTAAATAGATAGAATCTGGGGTATGAGGGGACCCTATTATAATGTGCCCAAAGCCATCTTCTATCTACTCAAGGGGGACTGTAAACCCTGGACCCTCAGCCCTACTTAAACCCCAAGCCCTAAACCTCTCTTACTTGTTTAATTTACAATCTTAATGGATTAGTGGCATTGACCAAAAAATAATGGGCATTTGCCAAAAAGGAGTGGTTCCACATTTTGGCCAATGCCCATTGATTTTTTATTTCTGGCATGTGGGCAATGAGTGAGCATTGGCCCAAAATGAGTGGGCATTGGCCAAAAGTTAGTGCCCTAAACCCTACACCCCTACACCCAAAGCCCTAATGAGTGGGCATTGGCCCAACATTAGTGCGCAATGGCCACTTTCGGGCTCCTCGGGCTCTACGGGTCGATTTTGGGACTTTAGGGTGCGGCTTGGGATTCGGCTATAGGATTCCTGTTTTGGGTTTTTAGAAATGTTGTGGAATCCAATGGGCGGGTGGGTATATTGCTGTTGCTTGAGAGCTGCTCATGGAATGAATGCTTGGACTTGAGATGCTGAATCCTGAGCCCTAAAGCCTAAACCTGAACCTTAAACCCTACTCCAAGCCATAAAGCCTAAGCCCTGAACCCTAAACCCTAAAACCCTATACCCCAAGCAGATCTGAATGGCGGTCAGTTTAAGCGTCGTCCCCTGGACAAGGAGAATAACTTTGGGCAGAAAAATCATCTTATTTACTGTAGACCCATGATTTATAAACCCCCTCCCCTTAGTAGGGATTATAGAGGCATCCTAATATTGAGGCCCTTGAAAGGAGGGGGTTTATTAATCAGGGGTCCACATCAGTATCATGATGATTTTATTGTTGTTGTTACGATGAGCGGTGGGCCTATCCCCCGGGGTCCTGTTCTAGCAGATCGACATGGAATAAGGTTCCAAGTTTATGAGCCAGTCCAACACCACCAAGAAGACATTTCCTTCTTATCAGGGAGTTGCCAAGAGGGAGAAGAAGTTTGCACTTCTTAGACAGAAATCTAAACTTTCAGTATCCTGCAGATCCTCCTTGTTCTTCTCCGTGACCTTGGTTTCTTCCACTCCCCTGGTGTCCGCATTCAGGTGCACTTAGGACAAACACTTTCCGGCTGATCCCTGCACAGCACACGAGGAAATTCCAGCGTTTCGGGCAATTTGGTTGAGATACTCGACTCTCTAGTGTCAAGGTTGGGTTGCCATTGCTAGGCAATACTGGGACCTCCCGAAAGCTATTTGGGGGTGCAAAAGCGGGACCCCGTTGCAAACGTCCTGGCTGCAACATGCTGCCTTTCCTGATTGCTCTTGGCAAGGCAGAGGTTAATTAGACACAAACCTCTCCCTGACGTTGAATGGCCAGGCATTGACGGCCTCATCCAAAAAGCTTGAGGTCTATCAGTAGACACCACTGAAAAAACTTGTAACCTGCTTCCCCCAAACCCAAAAGCATCTTCGTGGACCCTTCTGGCGTTAGAACCATCGAGCCTAGATCCAGATTTCTCAACTCTGTAGCTCGTGAAGCAGAAGCACTCGACCACCACAGTACCCCATGAGAGAATACTGCCAATAGTAGGAGTAGGAAAAGCTTCCTTCCTTCATGCCGGGCCGCACGAAGCGCCGGAATGGCGAAGATTCGGAGGCCCTGCAGAGCTTTGATCGCTGGGGTGTGAGGATCTTACGGGCTGTTTTGCAAAGGCGCGGTGCGCACCGTCTCACTCGCCACAGTCCCCGTGTGTTTTTGTCCTTTGGAATGGGGCTGTGGCCGCCCTGTGACGCTTGGGCAGTCTGATGCCCGTGAGACTTTTTGGAGGGAAGGCTGCAAATTGGGCACTCGTGGGTATGTTCTCGCCACAGTTCCAGGGGCAGAACTTTGGTTGCTGTTAAGCCTAGGAGTGCTCTTATTGGGCTCGGGTGCTTTTGGAGTCCTTCCACTGTTAAAGTTGGAATGGAATCTGTTTTCTATTAGCATGAATCAAGGAAGGTGCGCTGGATCTAGCAATGATCTTTTCAGAGCTTTGAGTTTGGGCCAAATTTGCGTGGCGCCGTCTAGTATCTTTGGCATTTGCGCCGCAGGGTACAGCAAAAATGTTAGGACTGTGTAAGGCTTCTGTTGAGAGGTTTTGGTGCAGGTACGAGCACGGTCAGCCATTGTTCGGATGGTCGGCTCTGGCTTGACATGCGCAGTAGTAGCAGTAGATGAGCAAAGTAATGGATTCAAAGGGGGCTGTCCTAGGGTGGACAACTGGAGCAGCCTTGGGCAAGATAATGCATGTTTAATATGATCCTGGAGCTCCTTGAGGTATCAACCGCCAATTTTTGGCGGGTTACAACATTTGTGCGGCTTCGCTATTAAAAACTTGCTGTGATGCCCTCAAACTATTGCCACGATCCTCTAGAAGACTCAGCAGATCCAGAAAACATTGCATGGACTTGTTGCCCTGAACTTTGCACCATATAACGCCTATGTAACCCCTATATTCCCTTCAAAGGTAGCCCTAGTCTTGGGAAACCCTGAAGCCCTGCATAACCCCTATACAACCCCATATAACCCATATATAACCCCTATATAACCCCTAGCCATGGGCCCAGGAAACCAAGCTCCCAAATCCCCTGCTCGTCGTACAACCCAAATCCCAGTCTGTCTGAGCTTAAACTTCAACTCCAGCCCCTTATCTTCGCACAGCACTCGTCCACAGGAATCCGCAAAGCGATGGGGAACATCCTGGGCCACTGGCTGGGATTTCAAGAGCTGAGTTTTTTTCCTTAAGCCCCAAACCCTAAACCCTAAACCCTTAACCGACGCTTGAGCCGCCCTTCTGGCTGCTGCACAGGCGCCAAGAAACCTCCCGCTTACAAAATGAATTTTCTACGGGAAATCGAAAAAATCAACCCTAGACTTGGTTTGTATATGGGTTATATAGGGATTATATAGGGATGATATGAGGGTTATATAGGGATTATATAAGGATTATAGTGGTTTTCCCACACAGAAGGGGCCTTCTGGGGATCCCAGAGATCTTTTTGAGTAAAGCTGCGACAAGATTTTGAGAACTAACCCCCATCCACTGAACAAAAAGCACCAAACCTGAACGGTGCCAGGTTAGTGTGCGTGCAAACGATTTGAGCTGTAGTCTACGTGTGTGAGTATTATAGGGTGTGTTAGGGGGGATACTAGGAGTGTAGACTATAGCTCATTTGGTGCTGAGACAGCTAAGGGCCTCAGCGTCTCGACGCTGTCATCGAGCGTGTCCCTTCTGCTGGGCATTGCGCAGACGGTATTGTTGCTGCAACTTGGCGCAAGCCCCATTCAAATTTCCAAGTTTTCTACAAATTCCCTTCCAGTGAAGCCTAATAGGCTTCTGACTTGGCTTAATTTCTGTGTGGGCATGGGGCCAGTCAGGCTCGCACGCCTGTGATTTTTTTCAGGTGGCGCCTGCTGCAGGGGCCGCAAGACCTAATGATGCAGTGATGCCGGCACAAAGTGAGGAGCCTTTCAAATAGCTATCATCATGGCGAAAAACCCATGAGCACTCATATGTTCACTGATTTCTCCCACAGGGCTAGATTCCAGCTAGATCCAAACTCTTATCACTGATAAATGTGCCCGAAGCCAAATCGGAAGAATTCCCGCTCTGTTAACTCTGGCACGTATACCCTCAACCTTGAAGCACAAATCCTAACGGTATACCCTCAACCTCCTAGCGGGACGACAGACACACACCTGTGTATACATATATATATATATATGTTATATATGTATAACATATTCTAAACTTTTCTAAGCGGCGCGGTGATGGGAGCTGAGAGCTTGGAGGTTTGCTTGGGAGTGCCGAGCGAGCGTGAGAGGATCCTGACAGCACA